CTGCTCTGGCCACTTCCTCGGTGGAGGGTCCGGAGGGAGGAGTCTCCCGCGGATGTGACCTGGATTGCACGCTATGGCGCGGCGGGGAGTTCCTCGCACCTGAGCCACTCGGTCTCGGGGATGGCCCCGGCTGCCGAGTGTTGGTGCGAGGTGTTCTCCTCCCGGAGGCTAGGACCTCTTGAGGCTTCCCTTTCCGGAGAAATGGGGGCCTCCGATTCGGAAGAGGCTTGCTCCGGGGAGGATAAACCGGCTGGCGTTCCCTCACCGTAATCCGGCCTCCTCCCTTCTTAGCCTTCTTGGAACTCTTTCCACTCTTAGTCATGGCGACTGCCGGAGTGTTTGATGGACTGACGCGAAATTTAGTAGCGTTCCCCACAGACGGCGCCAAATTGTTTCGATGAAAACAATCGAATCTCGGAAGATCCTTTTATCTTGAGGGAACTTTGGTCTCGGTCCGAACGACGCAGGAGCCCGAGGGTTTCCCTGCACAACAAATACACGTAAACTAGCCTCGGGGGGGACGCCGAGGAAGGCCCCTCCGATGCTTAAGTCAGTATATTAGAGAGAGAAAGCTGTGCAAGAGTTTAGTTGCTTGAGGCTTTATTGTCTTACCAAGAATTGACCAAATTGTTGGCTTTTATACCTTGGCTAATGAAGGAGGCGGATTGGGCCCGGAAGTCAGTTGGGCTGGGCCAAGCTGATTGGGCCGTTGACTGACCTTGACATGGCTTTGAGGATGTTGATTTTTGACTTTAGCACATTTGGAGAGTTGAACCTTAACCTTGGGCTTTTAATTGGATCATTCAGTGACCAGGCCCAATTGGACTAAATTGGACCCAAACAGAACTTGTTGACAATATCCACATATTCTGGACAAGTAAGGCGCGAATAGTAGTGAAGGGCTTCTTCAACATCCAATGTATGATCCACATCCCTTACATCCAATTCTTTCATTTTTTGTGCTAGTAAATAAGCATCACCATTTGCAATTGCATACCTAAAAGAAGTAGAAGTTGTAGTAGATGGCTGATTTTTTTAAGGACCTTCAACTTGTTTCGCCGTCTCATCAGCTGTATCCTGTGCAGAGCTGATTACTTCAGTGCTGTCATGAGCATCAGTGTTGTAAGTTGCTTCACTGAACTGTCAGCATTGCCTCGGTCAGTGTGGCCGGAAACTGATGATTGGTTGCAGTTGAAGAAGTCTGGATAGATGTGATCAAGGTGATGGCTTCTTTGGTTAATGCTGCTGCAAGATAAAGGATTTAAGAATAAGGTTCTGGGTATCTTATCATAGCTTCCAAAGAGGAAGTTTCTGATGTTTTGCAGAGATTTTTGGAAGAAGTTTTTAGTTTTTTGCATGGTTTTCTTAAACAACATTTGCTCTCTCTTTTCTTTTTTTTCCCTCTCTAGCTTCAACTACTAAAGTATTATGCACAAGGCTGAAAGGAAGAATGAGTCATGTACTAAATAACCATCTAGTCCTCTGAAATAATGTTATAATTTGACTAGTATTTATCAAAGTATATTTAGTTCTAACATTATTCTCGTTTCTTTAATCGTACATATATATTGATTTAGTAACTTAAATAAGTCACGGCACAATAACTCTTTTTCTAATACATAAGACATAGTGCTCCCTTCATCTCAAGATACACAATAGAAAATGATGTAATAATAGGTACGCGTGATGACCATCCCAAAAAATTGTATCCGATATTTTCATATCTACAATGAATGTGTACTATGTACCGTGTACGTATAGGAAGTTTCATTCGAATTGTTATCTCTATTATAGCAAGGGATCATATAATCACCAGTTTTTTACCTGAAGGTTAAAGGAAAAGATAGTGGCATTGATTAAGGAAGAAAAGCTAAAGGCAATAAGTGGAGGATGGGTAAAAGCTTATAAAGGTCACATAATAGCTCTCAAGCACTAAGTAAATCATGATCAATTATTTGTTAAAACCATGCGATTCCCGAAAATGTAGGGGCAATTTTCATGGATTGAAAGCAACAATGAACAGGGGATTCTGTTAATCTGATAGAATTTTAGGATTACAAACTTAATGTTTCATACCTTCTTTTATTATAAAAGTAGGATTAATTCATTCATTAGATTGGCCTAGTTGTTTGCTGGTCCCAAGATCTTTGTAAGCAAAAGGCTTCAATCATCATTCAAGTTTTGTTGATGGGGCTAATATATCTTGCTCATCTTATAATGTGGTGTCAAGATGTAGATGTTTGCATTTAACGGATGTTAGATAGCTCGTTCATTCAGTTAGTTGATCGATGATATTAAGTGTTTGGTAAAATTAGTTGTTTGTTAACACGGGATTTTTGGGTTTAAAGCTAAGGACGTGTTGTGCAGCATGGGTTCCTTACTGATAGAAGACGATGTCATGATCCTGAACCAATCTTACCTGGGATGCTGATAAGATTTTCGATTGGCATGATAACAAAGAATGCATGAAATAATGCAGTGAGTACATACAATAGTGCAACATGTTAAGATACTGAGGCTAGTCACCTAGTAGTTTTTGCAGGCATTTTATGTGTAGGATAGTGTTGGCACTAAGCTAAGCATAATTTCATTTGCAGAGTTGTTACTAGCAATATGAAACTCACAGGTTGTAAGGAAAATGGACAGTATGGACCCAAAAAATTTGCTAAATTCAGAGGGTACACTTTAGAAAAGCAATTTATGGACCTGCAGCATAGTAGTAGTGTGGTCACTTTCTTACACTTGCCATTATCAATTCTTCGTCCGTTCTAAATTGTCACATATACCATATAAATATATTTATATGTCTAGAAAAAGTTGTCACATTTTTTAACCATTAGCTTAAGTTAGGGTGATTTTGTTTTTAATATAGGCAATTACTTTAATTTAATGCAGCGATAAAAAGATTTCAGACATAACACAGCCATTCCATTTGTGATGAATGTTTTAGCGAAATCATAACCTATTTATCTTTTACGAGAAGAGATTGGACACTGTGACAACTAGTTCTCGACTAAAGAAAGTATTTGGACATTCATTAAGAGATAAGTCTGATACTTGTTAATCAATGTTCTTGGCAGCTAAGACTAGATTAATGAAACATCAGTACTTAATCAGATAAAAGTGTCTGTACATGTCATTTAGTAGACAAAGGAAATTTTAGTACAGTGGAAGAGGCTTCCTATGTCAGTTTTTGGACAGTACACAAAAAATGACATTTCAAGTAAGTTTTGGCAGGTGACATTATGTAAGCTGCTGAGATTGAATTCTTGCTCTAATTTTACAACTGAATTTGTTGAGAATCATAATTAGAATAATAAAAATGGAACCCACTTTGCAATTAAATTTCTAAGTTGACATACACGTGGTCACATGGGATATCACTATACAATTGAATTTAACTCGATAATCTGTATAACATTACAAATTTACGAGTACAAAGTAAACTAGATAAGCCATAAGCACTGATAATTCATAAAACAAAAAGTTCACATAAGGGCTAATAAGTAATAACATTAGAGATTTTGTTCAAACTAAGAAGATGTGTTTAATACGGATTATAAAGGCAGGTCATATATAAAGGACATTAGGTTAAAGATTTTAGGTTTGACTTTCATGTACTATTATACAACTTGAAAATTATCAATCTGCATCATAGGTTAGACTAACAGACATATATTGAATAATACATATGCATATATAAAATCATAACATATGAATAAATTAAAAAAAATAAATTAAATAGCTACTTTAACGATAAAAACAAGATTAATAAAAAAAGAAAAGAAAAATTATATTGGGATTAACAGAGAATCAACAGAGGAATTAACAAGAAAAAACAGATGAGATGAAAAAATGGCTTAATAAAAGATTAAAGAAAAGGGTGTAGAAATTAAGTACTCGTGTATTACTTGTATATTGGAATTAAAAGAGAATATAACAAGAAATTATCTAATGTCTCCAGACTTTCAACATGAACAAATATTAACAACAGAACACTCTTCAACTAAATTGCTTTACAATTTGTCAACAAACTAACAAGTTTTACTGAATTAAAACTAATCTGCAACAAGATCCTGTCAAAGGTGCCTTGCTTAGCACGGCTTGTAATTTGGAGACATTGGCGGCTACGATGGGGTGTACTCCGGTGACTTCGGGGTGTACTCGGGTGAATCCGGTGAGTAATCGAGAGTAGACGATGGTATGTAACCGGATGAATATTTCGGAGTCTACGGCGTGTACTCGGGTGAATATGTAGGAGACAAAGTTTGTTAGATAAACTTTGGCTTTTTACGCGTATTAAATATACCAACTAATATCTCTCTTTTGCGTTTAACCAATAAGAGTTTTTATCTTAAACTTTGTATGATTTTTTTTGTTGTAATAGTTGATTATATGTGGTGTCGTAGTAGATGAATTTCTTATTGAAAACATAATTTTTTTTCTTTTTTTAAATTGATATTTAATCTTATCTGTTTTTTTTTAAGACAATTTAAATCTCTAGTCTCATATGTTATTTTTTATACTAGTAGATTATATGGTTTTCTTTTTTCTTTTTTTTATAATTTACTTTTATATTTTTCAAAATACACAAAATGATAATTTCTTCTTTATACTAAATGGTTTTAACTATTCCACAATGATTGACTATAATTCACATTCAGTACTTTAAATTTTAGTACAAGCTAAGATAGCATCTAGGTGTCAAAAATTAAGCTTCTATATTTTAGCCTAATTTTTTTTTTAAAAAAAAATTATTAAACATTAACAATTTCAAATTAGGTTACAAAATGACAAATAATATTAGATTAGTTCATATTAAGGCTACACAAGTTCAATTCACAACATGTAGATGTCGGATGGCTTTTTATTAATGAATTGATTTGTTTCAAAAAAAAAAAAAATTCAATTCACAACATGAAATTATTCAAATGACTAAATCATACAAAGAAAGACATGTTTGGACAAGGGCTTAAAAATGAGAAAAAAAGAAAGAAAGAGAATTAATTAACATAGCTTGCAAGGTTAAAGATCTTAGCATTGACTTACAATTTTTATACCATGAAATTATGCAGGTTTATAGGCATTATAGCTGTGTACTGTATCATGGACACTTATATTGAGAAGTACAATACTATTCTATCTCATGTAGCTTACTGGAAAAGGAAGGAAAAAAAAAAAAAAAAACCCTAAATTAGGAGCAACAGCGAAAAAATCATGGCTAGAGTTAACAAACTTGTCGTTGCTGAATCTGGCCAAGAAATCTATTGTCTTACGTCTATCTATACAAGGGAATGATCTCAGAGGTGGACAAGGCTGGAGCAGACTTTGGGTGTGCTGGTGGCTGTACTTGGTTTTGCTAAGTTAAAGACTGATTCTCCAATTTTTGAACATTACCTTACTTTATTCTTGTTAATCTTAAAGAACTGATGTAACAGTCTATGAACTTCACCGTAGTTGGAAGTAGAAGAGATAAGACGGTCTTGAATCCACTGTGGTAGTTTGCTAGCTGGGGGTGAAGAACTTCGCTTTATAGGGTCAGACACATACCGTGAATCAATCAACAAAATAGCAGCATAATCATTTATGTGACGAATTGCTCTACCTGCAAGTTGGGAAGAAGTATACATGTATGAGGTTAAAACTGTGTTTGGAATACATGATATAAACAAAGATTGAAAAGCAAGCAACTAATTATAGGTCAAGCACTAATAATGCTCACCAATTGACTGATTCACAGCTTTCATACAAAGATTTTCATAATACTCCTTGCCTCTTCGCTTGCAACGTCGTAAAATGTCAAACCCAGCGTTAACATTTCCTCCAATATATGTGTCATTATTTGAAACCTGTAATGAGTTGGTAGCTTTTGTGTCACCAATGCCTTCCATGTGCTTGATTCTCTCAATCAACTCAATATCTGATGGGCTAGGGTAAGGAAGCCCGACCATAACTATACATCTGCCCATTCCATCACTGAAGTTGATGCCTTCTGATATCTTACCACCAACTACAGCCAATAACACTGCACCATTTAGAGATGTTTTGCTTTCGTTTAGGGCTTTATTAGAAAGCATGTCAATTGTATCCTTGTACTCCTTCAGAACACCTTCAATATCTGAACTACTTCGAGGTTCTCGGAACAAACGCTTCTTTTTTGTAATCCTGTTTAAAATCCCACTTGTTCTCCATGCCTCATAGATCTTGTCTTCGTAATCAAATGAAGAGAAAAATACAACTATTCCTTCAGGAACTACACTCACCAAATTGCAAAGCATGAGACCAAGCTCCTCAATCTGCACTTCCAAAACACATAAAAAGAACAACTTTCAGCATTCAAATGTTTGGCTGAATAGTTACTTGTAAGAAGAATGTACATCAACAAGAAAACAAAAGCAACTCCAGAGAATTAAAATTTAGGTCACTAAGAAGACTACACCAGAGCAGATACGTGCTTTTGCAAGGGATGCGCCTACGTGTCCAGTAGTGTTTACTTATGCAAGAAAGAAAGCATGGCAAGGGCAGCAAAATCAATTAATGAGGCAGGGGCTGAGGTGTCATTTTCTGTTAGAGGAGTTTGTTATGAGAAGTTTGTTATGGAGAGAGGTTAATGGAGAATCTGTTTCAGTTAGCAAGTTGTGAGGGAAACTAATTGTATTTAAGTGAGAGGCCTCTGCTGTAATAATTATGTAAATTATATTGTTAAGCTTTTGCTTAGTTGGAGAGCTCCTTTCCTCTCGAATAAAAGGGTTGTATTGAGTAGTTACACTGATCAATTCAATACAAACTATCCCCCACTTTTCTCTAATTTCTGCAATCTTAGCTAAATCTGCTTGTGAGTAATCTGATTCCTAGCAGCTTTAAAGAATCTATATGTATTCAAACTCAGCATAATGTCCTCAGGATTACAAAAAACAAAATATAGCAGTCTTGCGAAATGAAATAGGAGGGGGGCAAATGACGGACCATTTTTGGTGAGTTTCTGGATGCATAGCTGAAATCGAATGACTGGCCAGATGGCCCATTTGATACGGCAACTGGTAGGATACTCTCAGGAGGGATGATATGACCACATGAAAAGAAATGCAAACTTTGTGATGGTAGCCAAGGGAAGAGTCTCTCCCTTGTCTCCTCTATAGGTTGCAGAGTTCCTCCAGCCAAGATAACTGCATGAGCTTGATTTACAATCTACAAAAAGGCCATCATTCATTTAAACCTATACAATCATGATAAATACCACCACACAAGGTAACAGTAGAAAGCAATGGAAGGTAAGTTAAGCAAACCTCAGAAAAAATCTTTTCACCAGTGAGCATAACATATTTGATGAATCCATCTTGCTCGGACAGTCCTTTTGATCTCAGCTTTGAGACTATTATCCTCCCATCTACATTTTTATTTGTCAATGATAATAGCATATCAAGTAGTGCCCGAAATCCAGACAAAGTACTTCCCCCTTCTTTACTGATAGAACCTCCAGGGATCTGCTTCTCCAAGCATGTAACCTTATCTCCATATCCACTGACCTGAGCATTAAACTATGACAGTAAGCTACACAGAAGAATGCAAGGAAATCAAAAAGATCATGCATAAGATAATGCTGCAAACATTTGCGCACCTTGTGAATGATGTTGCTTTCCTTAACATAATTTATGAGCTTTACAAAATTGATGTTGTCGATATTCAAAGCAAATAGAAAATCATTTATTGTCACTGATGATTCATTTGGACCTTTTGTTCTTTCAACAGCATTGCTAGTTACATTATCATTTGTTTCATCCTCATCGAATATAGCTTGCATGAAAGCTCGGGTCAGGATCATCAAGATTTGGATATATCTCCTATTTCCAGGCCCCAAACGGCTACGGAATTTTTCAAGGTAATTCTCCAAGCATTGATGCAAGTTTTCCAACTGAAATGACAATCAAATTTAATTGAATTTTAGAACCTCAAGCAGTCAAACTGATGGCAAAAATTTGTCATTTTCTTTTTCATTATATAAAGAGCTCCAGTAGTCCAATTCAAAACAATACCAAAGAATGGCCAATTCATGATAGGAATTCTTCTGCTAATACTCTAATAGGGCTATGAATGAGGAAAAAGTTACCTGTGACAAAGTAATCTTTGCATCATACATGCCAATAAGTGAATCAGCTAAATTGTGAGCCTCGTCTATTATAATGATATTATTCTTCAAATTTATACCAAGGGATTCACGAGAAGATTTCGATAGTAGAGATTGATAAGGAAGCACAACAAGGTCCGCTGCTGGAACCATACGTCTTGAGCCATAGTATGGACAAGTTCCTAATCTGCTACCAAGATCAAGAAGATCTTCAATATCTAAAGCCTCTTGCTGAGAGACATCACTCACGAAATCCTTTTGCAACTTCTGTTTTCTAAGCATTGGGCAGCCTGCTGAAGCCTTTGTCCGCCGTACCCTTCCTCCAGGCTCCAGCTTCTGAAATCAGCAGGTGCCATGTCAACAGAGTTAAGCATTTAACTGTTGGAGAGATTAAGAGGTTACAAATTAACCTATTTCTTATAGACCTTACAGGTAACTACAAAAGTATGCAAAATGTACAGAAATTTCATTTAAACACAATTCCCGCAAAACAAAAAGACTGTATTGAATTGGAAAGCAGTAAAAAGTGCAGCAGCTTCAGACATGCATCATGGGGCTTGCCCCAATCAAAACAAATAAATTGAACATCAAGTCATCAAGTGAAGAGGCTCTGCAGACTCTTGATATTGGAATGATGTTACATAGAGAAAAACACACGCATGGAACCTTCAAACTGATAATGGATGATAATCCGCAAAGGGGTAAAAATAAATCATACATATAAATCTTATTTATCCAGGAAACTATCTGCAACTTAGTTGATTTATATCCAAGATTGACACAGGTGTTCTTAATATAAAGCAGGAAAAGGCATGTGAAATCAAAATGGTTATAATATTGGATAAATCAACTCCGTGATAATCATAGTTCTCCGTAGTATATATTTAGAATGAGTATAATTATTAGGCTAATTAATATGTCACATGAGTCTGGTGAGGATTCATTTGATGTGGGGCTAAGGAAGAACATTTTAGCCAAATAAACTTTTTCTCTTAGAATCAAGTACCAGAACATTCAAAAGTGAGACTGTATACCAATGTGACAGTATCTGCTCTAGAAAGCGATCATATAGTTGCCTTCCACAAATACATGTAGACTAAGCAAATGATTAGACAACTGACATGTCCAATACAAGTGACATTCAAATGCTTAAATAATAAAGTACTAAAATGATATTAGCGATGAGTTGATAAGGTTTAATGAGAGCACAAATTAACTGTTCAACTATCTCTAGTGCAGGATCAACTGAAAAAGCAAATTCAAATAAGCAAGGTATCACACACCTTGATCTTTGAACCTCCATTTTTCTTACTATTGTGCAGCTCCAAACAACGTTCATTGATACTAGCAGGGTTACCAATCTTCAGCACCTCTGAATTAACATAAATGGAGAAAATCCCAAATTGCAAAATATTAGGAAACACGGAATACAACTTTGCCGCCAAGCAGCAGGAATGTAACCACAGGCCACAGCTAAATATAAAATGAGCAAACTTCCTCCCATTATCATAATACAGTTAGAAAACACCAATGCCACAAAACTCCATCTCAGAAAATCTGATTCTTATTGGTTTCGTATAACTAATGATGGCAATTGGCAAGAAATGTGCCAAAAAAATTGCAGGTTTCAATAACATTAGAGGATGCTATATATTCATACTATCATACATATGATGCACAGCTGCCCGATGTAAATTAATAGAGATAAATATTAACAAGTTTTGCCAGGTATCAGGATCAAAGAGTTATTTTTTCAAAAATTATAAGATGAATATGGATGAAATTCAGAAGATGTAAATAAATCATGGATTATATTGTCTATATACCTTGATTGATGCAGAGATTCTTCCTAGAACCTAAAGAGACAACCTTCAACTCAGAACCAAACACAGTCTTATTCAACTCTTTTATAAATTGAGAAAGCTGTGAATGTGTTCTACTACAGAAGAAAACCTTCAACCCCTCTTCCTCTCCATCCAATTTATCCTCTTCATCCTCATCACTCGACGAGCTAATCGAGCCCTTCCTCTTACACACCCCACCCTCTTCCTCTTCTTGTTCACTCTCATACTCCTCTACCAAAAACTCGTCATCATCCAACAATTTCCCATCATTCCCCTTAACATTTCCCCCCTTCTCAACCCTCTCATTCTTCCCAATTTCACTCTCATTGCCGAACAAATCACCCACACCACCAGTTCGACGATTTGCCTCAGTGAACTTTTTTGACTTAACCCCAATTTTCTTCTTCTCCTGAACTGGGTTTTCTTTACTTACCACAAATTCACGCATCCAATCGGGTTCATCATCGGACGGACATGAATTCCCTAAATTGGGTTTTTGCTGATTTTTCCGATCGACGAGCCACTGCAATGCGCTGCAAATAATGCTTAAAGTTTTCCCAGTACCTGTAAAATCTGAAATTGTTGAGATTTCGAAAAAATTCTAGAATAATCTAGAAAGAGAGGGAAGGGGGTATTACCAGTGGGGCTTTCGAGCATGGAAATGCCGCCATTGTCGAGAAATTGATAGAGGGAGTTCATGAAATCGAGTTGAATGGAGTAGGGTTTGTATGGAAATGCTGGAAATTTCTGCTTCCATTGTTCTTCCTTAGCTTCTACACCCATTTTTTTTTTTTTTTTGAGAATTTCGGGTTAATTTCTCTCTCCTCAAAATCCTATGAGCATTTGGGCAGTGAAAGGCGCCATTTTGATTGAGTTAAGCTTAAAAGCGCGGGAGATGCCCAAAGTCTAACGTTAATGACTTTTTAGCAATTGTGACTTTTTCCTAAACATTAAGCTCATTGTTAGTGACAATTTGGGAGAGGAGATTCCCTTATCCTCACCCAACTCTTCTAAATTGACTAGTTCACTAATTAGGGTCGATTGACTACTTTATGGTGGATGACTGGGTGTAGTTTGTTCTCTATGTAGGTCATGGTTAGTCTTGTAATAGTATATCTTTTAATGTTTGCATGACATTGCTAGTTGTAAACACTTAAAAATGTCTCCCCAAAACCAAACTCGGTGATGAACAACTTTTACCGACATTATTGGTCGGGTCGAGTATTTAATCTCGGGAGTGCTTAAAACCCATGTTCAGTCAAACATATTCAGTCAATAAATCAGTCAAATCATTTATTCAAATTCAGTCCAACTCATATCCTAGCCCAAATCCTTTTAATTCATTTTGTGTTATTTAATAATTAAGCCCGATTAATAAATAATAAAAACTCTAGGCCTAAAATTAATTCGGAATAGCTGAAACTGCGCATAAAATATCACATTCTTAGTCATTAAGCAATGAATAAAATGAATCTGGACTGTTTTTAGGAAAATATGTGCACCGCGTCACGGTATTCCGCGTCGTGTTGTGGTATTCTGCACTGTGTCACAGTATCTTGCGCCGTGTCGCGGCACGCATGCCGTGACGCGGCATTTTAATAGGGTTTCTCCAATATCGGGGCACCAACAATCATTCTCTTTCTCCCTACACCAAAAATCATTCTCTTCTCTCTTTAGCCTAAATACTAGCCTCCCTATTCTCTCATAATACTTCCCCTAAGCACTCCAAGGAGTCCATACTTGACCTGAAGTTTTATACTTAAGCCAAGGCGTGAAATGTAGAATTAACTGAGGGTTTGGACCAAATCAATTCTACTTTTTATTAAATTTAATTGTTTCAATTTGATTTATTTTTATTGAAGTTACTAACAGTTTATTCATGATGTAGTAATTCAAGAAAACGCGGGAAGTGAGTAATTAATCACTTAATTGCTCTTATTTTTATTCTTTATTGCTAGTATCATGATTAGGGTTATTATTATGATTTGATTTGACTTACATTATTATTGTTAAATTGCTTCAAATGTTGATGTTTATTCTATTGTTTATTGTTGATCACCATATTGCATGTTTAAAGGGAATATCCGAATATGTAATTGAAAATCACGACTAATAAGATAATTTGGACAACCGGTTTAGGTTCCTTTTAAATCTTATTTCTTAATCAAGTGATCACAATATCTTAGAATTATGTGTTACATTAATATTCAACCAATTTAGTCTAATATTAGTTTAGAGCAAATTGAATCTTTGTTTGCATGCCATTGAGATCGCAGGGATCACTTTTCACAATAAGAATCAAGTAGAGACCAATACGGGCGAATGTGACTCCATGACTCACTTCATACCATCATCCCCGATCCTCCTTTCGTGGTTCCGAACCATATGGAGTTAGTAATCTCATGGATTATGAATGGGGTGTAACCTTCACGGGTCAATCGTTGTTGCCTTTCGTTGTCCCTTAATCATGGTTGCCTTAAATGATCCATGAATGGTTTACAAGTTCCTTAAAAACTAGTTGGCGGCTCCTTACTTTCCTTGTCCCCAATCGTATAATGTCAATTCTCACTTCCTATGAGTGCCAAGCATATTCACAACATGCTTAAAGTAGGCGCGCTTCGAATGACGCCTACACTAGTGATGACCATAAAATTAAAGAATAAGTCTAGTGTAAAACGGGTATACGTTAATTTTATTGTAAAATGATCAGTTTAAGTGTAACTTTAACTATTTTTATGGTAACTTTAACCACTTAAAGAGTAACTTTTAATTTGTCGTTGGTTTGAATTTTATTTTAATGTGTAATTTCTCATAGATACGGGATTACATACTATAAAGACTAATATGATTAATCTAATACATTATAAGTTTTTTGTAAGATAAAATTTATTAATAGAAAAATAATAACTTTTATAGTATAAAGGGTGACTTTAATTATTTTTAACATAACTTTAACCCGTTTTACAATAAATTAACGTACACCCGCCTTTTTTGAGAATTTGTGAAGATCAAAACAGAGTTAAATAACAAGCCACGTGTTCTTTTATAGTCTTGTCATAGCAAACACAAAGATGAGTCGTTGCCCCTTACAATTCACCTAATTTGGTGTTGTTTCTCTTCAATCTTAGGTAGGGATGTCAATGGGGCGGGTCAAATAGGAGACCCGCCTCATCCCCGCCCCAACGTATGATAATCATCCACGCCTAAAACGTATTTTAATGCCCGAAAGTTGGATAGGATGGCCCTAACAATTCGCCTAATTTGGTGTTGTTTCTCTTCTTTATGAATTTTTGCTCTGGATGAATTTTTATTCTTTTTTTTTTATCATCATAGTATGGGCATTTAACGGGGCGGGGATGGGTCTTGGTTTGGCGAGTGATGGGGCGGGGATGGGGATAAAAACCATACCCGCCATGGGTGATGGGGCGGGGGTGGATTTTAGGTTGTACCCGCCCCATCCCCATCCCCGCCCTGCCCCACTTCGTACCCGCCCCATCCCCACATCCATATATTTTTAAAAACAAAATTATATACTTTTATACTATTTTATAAAAAAAATTATGTAAAATAAAATAGTAAATATACTTTGTAATACACCTATATTATAAATAAATAAAAAGTGTAATATTAACAATAATTTTTTTCTTTTTGCAATCTTTTTTAATTATGAAGGATTGTGTATTTTAGGAGGCAGGGATTAGACGGGTCTTAGGTGGGGGTGGATATCCAAGTGGGGGGTGGGGCGAGGATGGTTTTGGAGTTGTATCCGCCGGGGCGGGGATGGGGATGGGGATGAATTTTAGACTCGCCGCGGGGGTGGGGATGGGTATGAAAATTTTAGATGGGGATGGGGATGGGAAGGCCAACATCCACCTCGCCCCGCCCCATTGACATCCCTAATCTTAAGGAAAACGAAAAAAATTAGATGAGTCAAACTCACGGTGAGTCCGGTCTCACGCAAAAGCTTTTCTGGGGAAAAATTTGAATTATTGTCTTTTATAATTGTTGAATGATCAACTTCTTTCAATAATTAAAACCAGATGATCCATGATTGCATCTCTTAGTTTAGCCAATATATTACTCTGTAGAAAGTACACCCTCTGTCCCTTAATGATGGGTCTGTTTCTCATATTTCACAGTGATTAAGGAAATGAAAATAATATATAATATTCTTGAAAGTAGGGAAATATTATATGGGAAATAATATATATGTATGTATGTATATGTATGTATGTATGTATGTATGTATGTGTATATATGTATGTATATATATATGTATGTGTGTGTATATATATATATATATATAAAAGTATGTATGTAATGATATATGTGTATGTGTATATATATATAGAGTAATAGTAATGATATATTGGAATATATATTGATTTGGGTAAAATTACCCAGACCACGTGGTCCAATCCAAAGGGGACACGTGTCACCCTAGGAGAGGTCCAAAAAGGACCAATCACCAGCTGACACGTGGCATTCCTAATCAGCAGGGAAAAAGACGGCCTTCAAGGGCTTAATTCTCGAGGAAGCCGTAAAACGGCGCATTCCACCAAATCTAGGTCAGAATGACCTAGGTAATGACACATTAACCAATGACCCTATAAATAGGGAGATTTACCCCATTTTGGGGACACATTCATTCATTACATCACAATCAATTCTCTTACAATAGAGAAAACACCTAATCTCGGGATCTGAGAAGATCTTCTTTTACTTTCCGCTTTTTACTCCGAACACGTACTAACTTGATCGTCGGAGGCGGAACTCCGAACATCCGGAGCTTCTGTTTGTTTGCAGGTACAACAAGCGAGGACCCAGTTTTGGTGACGTAACTCTCCCGCAGGACACATAAAAAAACCCCGAAACATATGTAAAGGGAAATGTTGAAAATCATTTAATGGCACCAAAGTTTATGGATGTGTAATACAATTTTAAATGGGAATTGTGAAAAAGTTACATGAATTATAATAGAATTATATCGAGTATGATATTTTTAGAAACAAGCACATCATTTTAGGATACCGTTTTAAAAATACATCCACATACATCATCTATAGATAGAGGTGATAGTAGTCATTAGGTTGGTTTAATTAGCCACACACCTTAAGCATACAAGATATTAGGGGTGATCAAGAGATGGGATGGGGCAGGCCAAATGTTAAAAAATCTGCCCATTGGTTCAGGTCGAGTCGGACCATGTATCAGGCCGATAATGCTTGCCCAAAACCTGCTAAACTAGATCGAGTCTAACATACTTTTTAGGCTTTTTTGAATTGGGCAAAAGATACTTAAAATTCTTTTAAATATATGCTAATGGCCCATGAAAACACAAAAAAATTTGAGCTGTCTCGAGCATGTTTTCGGGCCGAATTTTTTTGTCCAAAACCCGCCTAAAATCAGTCCTTGATAGTGTTCCACCTGCTTTCTTCCAAGCCAACCGAAACCTAGTTGGTGATGACACTATTGTTGGTGATAGTGTTGACACTATTGCTGTTGTCCTTGCCTTCTTTGGGGAAGGATTTATGCGTGATAGTTGAATGAGACTTACATAGCACTCATAACAAAGGTGGACAATATTTTTCGAGTTCATACCCATCAACCCATGCAACACAACCCTCATTTAGTTATATTATTGGATCATCGAAAAGCATGTTACAATTGATAGATTTTGTGTTGCTCTTGATAGCATGAAATGTAATTGGCACGCTTTATTTTTATCCTAGTGAATTTCCAACACATTTATGGAATCGCTACTATCCTTTATCTTGGTGTTAAAGATGTAAATCAATTTTGGAATATTATTATATGAAATATTTGTTTAAGTATTGTATATGGTGTTAGTGCATACATTAAGAAATACAAATTTGTTTAGAGAGACATTTGTGATCATTATGCATTTATTTCTCGAATTATTAACATTATCATACTATTACTGTAACACCCTAAAAATTTCTTTCCTTTAAAATACCTGTTTTACTCTATTTAAAATACAAAATAGGAAAATCTAAGACATTACCGCCACCGTGAAAACGGCTAAGACAAATATCAAAGACACACAACGGAAGACTTTCTTTAAAAACCATTCAAAACAAGTCAACTTAAAAGTCAAACCCAACGAAAGTAAAGTCAAA